AGCAGTATGCTCAGTGAAATAAGTGAAAGAAAGACAAATACTGTTTGATATCACTTACATGTAGACTCTAAAACAAACAGGACATGAAAAACAGAGAGTAGAATGATAATTCCCTTCTTTCCATTCTTCCCCACAAATGTCATGTAATATTACAGAATGCTGACAAGATAGGACTGTGGACTTGGCCCCTTTGACACCTCTATGTAGCAAGATTCTTCAAGGGATAGAAGTCTCACCAAATTGCAAACAGACAAGTAAACAAACATTCAACCATCATAGGTATTCCCAGTTAAATTATTGTACAATTTGTTACTATCTTCTTTTTAAGAAAAGAGAAGGAATTTGTTCTCACAAATTTCACTTACTAATCTTAGTCATGTTGTCACATTTTTAAAGTCTTCTGAAATATTTTTGTACCTCATTGTCCTCTATAATCATTTTTTCTTTAAAAGTTTTTAAAATTGTGAAGATCATACTTTTTTTCATAAAAAAGTTTGAAAAGTCCCACACCAAATTAAAGAGCTTCTGTACAGCAAAAGAGACAGTGACCAAAACAAAGAGACACCCCACCAACTGGGAGAAAATTTTTGCTCACAACACTAATGATAAAGAACTGATCACAAAAATCTACAGAGAGCTGATGAGACTCAACAAAAACAAAGTAAATAATCCAGTCAAAAAATGGGCAGAAGAGCTAAAAAAGGAACTTCTCCAAAGAAGAAATGCAAATGGCCAACAGGCATATGAGAAAATGTTTAACATCACTTGTAATCAGGGAAATACAAATCAAAACTACAATGAGATACCATCTTGCACCAGTGAGAATGGCACATACTAAAAAAAACTAGCTACAACAAATGTTGGCGAGGATGCGGAGAAAAAGGAACTCTCCTGCACTGCTGGTAGGAGTGCAAACTGGTCCAACCACTATGAAAAGCTGTGTGGAGATTCCTCAACCTGCTAAAGATGGAGCTTCCATATGATCCAACAATTCCACTCCTAGGTATTTACCCAAAGGACACAGAATCATTAATTCAAAAGGGCACCTGCACCCCTATGTTTATAGCAGCACTATTCACAATAGCTAAGCTATGGAAACAACCCAAATGCCCAAAAATAGATGACTGGATCAAGAGAATGTGGTACATATACACAATGGAATATTACTCAGCAATCAAAAAAGATAAACTCATGCAATTTGCAGAAACATGGATGGAGCTAGAAGGGACCATGCTCTGTGAAATAAGCCAGAAAGAAAAAGAAAGATACTGGATGGCCTCACTCATACCAGGAATTTAGAAAACGTAAATAAGGGACCAGAAAAAAGACTAATTATAATAAAATAAAAATCAAAATCAACCAGCAACTATAAATCAGAGACACACTATGAGGGGGGAGAGAGGAGGAAGGATTAGGGTCAAAATAAGGGGAGTGGGAATTGTATGGGAAATATAACAAAAATGAAAATGCAGACATTGTGCAAAAATGAAAAATGATGTAAAAATATATAAAATAAAATTTAAAAAATTTTTTAAAGATTTATTTATTTATTTATTTATTTATTTATTTATTTATTTATTTATTTATACAAGTACTGGGTACAGTCAGAAGCGTGGGAGAGTGAGAGAATTCACCAGAGCCAGAGCGGGGAGCAGAGCAGGCAGAAGGACCGAAGTACACTGCTGAGGGGAGCAGTGGGCGGCAGGAGAGGTCTGCGCGCCATGTGGGACCCTCGCCCGGTGGCCGAGGAGCAGCTGGGGATCGAACCGGCGCTGCAGAGGCTGCGGGGAGCTTCGCAACCCAGCGCTCAACCACTGTGCCACCAGGGAGGCCCAAATAAAATAAAATTTAAAAAAATAAGTTAAAAAAAAGTTTGAAAAGTCCCAAATTGTATGAAGTAAAAATAAAAGTTTTCCCCTTCCAGATTCTCTTTCTCCCAATCCCTCTTTCTATATTGGTTGAATTATCTGCATTTTTTAGTCTTATCAGTTTATTTTTATGTATTCTCTTTCTCAGTTTCTTCTTGTTGACTCCAAGTTTTCAAATGCTATATTATATTTGTGTGTGTGTGTGTATTTATGTTTTTGTTTAAACACTTGAGTAATTGGTAGGTTATGGGAATATACATGGTAAGTTCAGATATTTTTATTAATTTGGACTCCCCTCTTATACCATGGTGAGGTCCCATTTGTAATGTTCCTGCTAGTTCTTGTGTATTATCTATTATCAATAGTTTTCATTTTTGCTTATTTGGTGAGCTGAGAAATGTTCTAGTTTGAATCTTCTAATGATATGGAAAGCTCAGCGTCTTTTTATATGTTGATTGGCCATTTGAATTTCTTTTCCTTGCTCGATTTTGGATTATGGTCTCTTTTGAATTCCCACTGCAAAGGCCCTATCCTACTTTATACCTATAAAGTCGTTTACTATGGTACTGCTTCTTTTTCCAATTTCTCCCAATTATTCCCAATGCAAAGATCTTATATTATTCTGTTCAAAATCTATCCATAGCTACTTGTTTAATAAACTTAAATGTTTATGACTTAATATTCAAGTCCCTTCATGACCTTGTCGTGGTGTAGCTCTTCATGCTGCTATTTTACTCCTCACTTCTCTTCCTCCTTCATCTTTATCTCCTATAAAATAAAAGAAATTACTTTTCTCCTAATATGTCCTGCTTTTCTGCCATTCTTCCATGTATTGCCTCAAATTGGAATGCCCTTTCCCTAAAGTCTGTGTAAAGTCCACCAATCCTTCCAAATCTGACTCAAAGGGCAGCTTCTTTAGGGAATTTCTCTCACCTAGTCCTTCCTTCCCACTTGTCTCCCCATATATCTCTTTTGCTGTCTATTATCACAGAACTACAATCCTACAACTTTCTTTTATTAGAGGTTTTAAATTATTGAATGCATGGTATTGGCTGCCTTTGGTTTATATTTTATACCCTAATGTTCTTAGTATTGTATTTTGAAGATAATGGTGACCCAAATTATTTCAAAGTGGGCAGATTTGAAATCTCAATTATAAATTACTGGTTAGTTCTTTGACTATCTGACTGCCATAAGAAGATACCTGGGAATACTTTTGGCTGTTTATACCACATGCAAAAGAAAACATTCTATAGGTGTGGGGATAGTAGGAACTACATATCAATTTGATAACCTATGTCTAAGTGCTAAATGATTGTGACTGAGTGGACTTTCTAAGATGGTCTGAAGACTATAGTTACTATAGAATTTTTTTTTTTTTCTGCTAAGGTTTTGAAAGAAGACAGAGTTTGATTCAAACAATTGTCTGTATTTTTTATTGCAATAGGATATGAGTGTATATAGTTTATAAATGATGAGTTCAATTGTGTGTCTAGTAGGATAAATTTCATAGATTAATGCTAAATTGGCAGCACATTTTTTGGTTCTGATAAATATTTTCAAAGAGAGTCATTTTATTCTTTGTATTCTTGATAAGGGCTAGGGAGGCTGAGGACATTGGGTAAGACACTATGCATGGTATAGTAGGAAATCTGCACAAGTAATTGTTTATGGTCTGTCTGCTCTGAGTTAATTTTCCAGCCCAAGGACACTTCTGGAGGAGCACAGGGAGGCAGTGCTATCTGAAGACCAGCCTGAAACAGTGGGACAAACGTGAGGCCAGGTGTCCACGAGAGTGATAAGGAGCTCCCAGGCTGGGCATCAAGCTCCTGGCAGCAGTGAAGGTCTGCTTACTGTTAAACTGTCTTTGTTCAGCTTACTATAAAAAGCCAGCTGGAAATGAAATGTGAAGGTGCTTTCTTTAGGGTGTTAACCTCCAATCTTTCCAGATTCCTGGCTATCTGATTAAAGCACACTTTAAAGATTCAATTTCTGTCTCCATTTTAATGGCATTTGGTGATGACAGGGGGCCTGAACTCTAGTCTTCCAGTTATATTCTGAAGTTCATATGAGAATTCATTTTCTTCAGTCTTGTATTCATAGTGAATCTCTTAATTTTTGTTAGCAAAAGTTCATTTCCAAAATAATATCTCCCTTATTTATATATGCTTTAGGCAATTACCTGTTAGAATTTGTTGTGCTCACGATTTGAAATATACATGTATTCCTGAGGGAAATTTTGATGATTTTCAATAAGTGGGAAAACTGCATGCACAAAAACAGTTATGTTCTTAAGGTATAGATTTAAAGTTTTTATACAAATCCTCAAATCTCTCTAGAGCCAAGAGTGACATATACAAAAGGGATGTATAAGTAGGGGGATATCTGTTACATTTTGGGATAGATTACCATGATAGGCCGTGTCGTCATAACATGACTTGTGAGTGGGTGTTTTTCTGGAAACAAGTCAAATACTTTTATCATACTACAAGTAGAAAAAGTACAAGTTGTGGACTTGGGAAAAGGAGGCTTTCCTGCCAACACTGGGCTCTTTGGGTGATCCTGTATAATTGCATTGTGTTTTCCAGAAAATACTTGTAAATGTAGTAATATGGTATTATAAGCATTTTAAATATGATGCTGAAGTTATTGAAATATGAACATCTCTACAGCCTTAAATATTTTCTGAAGATCCTCCATATATATATATATATATATATATAGAGAGAGAGAGAGAGAGAGAGAGAGAGAGAGAGAGAGAGAGAGAGAGAGAGAGAGAGAGAGAGAGAGAGAGAGAGCAGCCTAATTTTTTCAACATTTTGCCAACATTTTGCCTAACTACCAAATTAAAAAAAAAATACTCATTAATTACCCATGGATAGTTCAGTCCTTGGGCTACAAGTTCCACTACTTTCTTTAAGGAACTTTCCTCTTTTGCTTAAAAAATTTTAAGTTTTCTTATTTTAAAGTTTTTTTAAATATACAATTTCTGCCACTGACCCAGAAGCCCTCACTGTTTTTCTATAATGAGCTGAAGATATCCTAGGGAAGCCGAAACATCCTACTATTCAATTAATATGTTAGAATGTTCCAAATACATAGTTGCTTTAGCTTATTTCTCTCCCCAAGGGTGTCGGAGAGTCACTCAGTCATGTAGCCAAACTAAGAAGAGGTCACACTGAACTGACCTCTAGGAACCAGAATGTACCAGTTAAGGAGGATCACCGGGTCTGCCCCACCATTGTTTGGACTATAATCAGGACCAAGCCTGGGAATACCCATTAGGAGGGGATGCCTACCCTGGAACAATGCTCCGTGAGTATGTGTCTGTGCTTGTCTTTGTGTACGTAGACAGATGTCAGGGGAAGTAAATCTTCAACAAGTTAGAAAAGTGCCATTTTGAAGGATTATAAGCACTTTCTACCATCTATGATAGAAATTGTGTTTTGTATCTATGGAAAACTTCTTTTTTGTGAGTTGGTATGTTAGATAAATTCTCATATAATACTAGAGAAGTGGTCCAAATGCTGGTGGTTGAATTAGTTTGTTTTCCCTAAATCTGGTTGTAGGCTGGCCTATGACCGGAAATATTATTTTAATTCCCAGATCTTCTTCCAGGAGATAATGAGGCCTTACCAACAATGGAAAGAAGATTGTGTGATGAGTTGGATTTTGACTAGTGGCATTTCTTCTAGAAAAATATTTAGTCTTCAACAATGGAAGCTTTGGGAGAAAACTATAAAATACTGTGATGTCTTAACTTTGGAGTTCAGGCCACATTGTGTGGATAATTGGACATCTCCACCAAGCAGCCCTAATCTAAGGCAGAATGAAAGGAATGTTAGATCCTGGGCTCAAGGTGTGGCAGTGGGTGGGAATTTTCAATTGTGGGGGCCACTCTGATCCCTCTCCCTCAACTCCACAAAGAAGAAGTATGAAATAAACTCTGATTAGTCATTCAAAAAATATGTACCAGGCTTTTGCTAAGTATAAATGAAATTTTAAAGAAGAAGGAGAAAATAGACATAACACCCTTTATTAATCAAGTCTTATGATTAAAAAATAAAATTGAAACTGTGGTCAAATATTATAACAGAAAGTTAACTGATGCTAGTGAATGTATAGTAGGGATAGTTTACCGGGTCTTGAGAATTTCTCTGAGAAAATGACAATTGAATTGAAACTAAAATGTGACAAAGAAGTAACTATATGAAATAGTGAGATAAGAACATTGGAGGAAGGGAACTAAATACTAAATGTAAAGCTCCTATGGCAGAAGGAAGCATGAAGAATATAAAAGATGAAGAGAAGACCATGTGGCTGAAATGAAGTGTTGAGAATGTGGAGGCATGTAGGAGGAATACCAGGAAAAATTTTAGAAGTTTGTAAGATTTTTTTTTAATTTATTGTTTATGCATACAAGAGCTGGGATATAGGCCAGAGGTACAGGAGGATGAGAGGATTCACCAGAGACAGAGTGGGGTGCAGAACAAGTGGATTGACTGAAATACACTGCTGAGGAGAGCAGCAGGCAAAACAGGAGAGTTCTGCTGTGCCACATGGGTTAGCTCCCTGGCTGGGGGTTGAACTCATGCTACAGTGGCTGCCTATTGCTTCCTAGTGCTGAGACTTAATCCCTTGTGCCACCAGGGAGGCCGAAGTTTATAAGCTTCTTAAAGACTTTCATATTTTCTCTTGGAGTAATGACAAACCATAATTTTAAGAAGGAAAGGTGAGTTGGGTTTTGAAAAAGTCACTCTTCTCAGATTTCTATAGATTTTGCACTTGGAACTAATTGCATTATTAGAAAAGGGGAAGACTCTGTAAGTCAGTTACACTGTGGCTTAGACCCACCTTTAGCATTCTGGACTGGTAGTGGATTGGAGGAAGGGTTCTTTTGAGAGTCCTAGACATTTCTGAATGGGTAACCTGATCAATGCATGAACTTATATGGAAAGGAGACAAAGGTGAGTTATCAAATGACTCTTAAAAAGAGTGTGACTTTTTTTAGCAGTGACAGGCAGGTCAGATATGGAGAATTAGAACAGAGAGAAAGAGAGAGGTATCATACTGGATGACTTAATGAAATATTAAGCAAATCACATTTTTATATATTAATATACAGAACTTTTCAATTTAATTCAATGTTTCTCTACAGTGACTGTTTAAGTTGCTTTATGCCATACCAGTGCATGAATTTACTGTAACTTCTTCAATCAATAGCTTAGTGAACATATGTATATTTCTAAGATTTTGTTGTTATATGCAATGTTGTGCTGCACATTGACATAGTTATAACATTGCATGTGAGCTGGATGTCCTTGAAATCAATTTTTCTAGGAAAGGGGTGTTCGTGATAGTATATACATTTTTCTGTGTGATGGCAAGTGTTCACCTTTTTTTCTTTCTAATTTGATCTCTCATCTGCTGTACAAGAGGCCTTGCCAACATTGAAGAGACAGTTTTCTTTTCATTTTTGCCAACATGATAAATAAAATTTGGATCTCATTTTAATTAGTATGTCTTGAAATAAAAAAATTAAATTTGGAAGAAACCCTAGAGAGTATATAATTTAACCAATTCATCTTACAAAACTCATAGAGGCTATAACTTGGGTTGTACCCAAGATTTCAAAGCTAGTGAATTGCAGAACAGGGATTAAAATCCAGTTCGCCTGGATCTCAGCCCAGGTCTTTCACACTAAAACAAATTTAGCAGGGATGCCCACTGTAGTTTTCCTTCTGGAGGAACTAGAACACAGAACTGTGAGGACAGAGTAGGTTTCTAATCCAATGAAAGACTATTAGCTGTTGATTGTAGCCTGAAGGAGCAATTAATGGACCCAGCTTCCTAGAGATGGTTTTATTTTATTTTATTTTATTGTGAGAATGCCAAGGCCAATGCTGTCCTAGTACCAGAAGCTCCTCTGGAGAGGACATGGAGCTAAGGAAAAACATACTTGGTCATTGTGCTCCCCCCGAACCCCAGCATGAGTCTTTTGAGGTTAATCATTCTTGTCTCAGATCTTGAGACATGGGGATAAAGATAACTATCTTTTGGCTAGAAAAGATAGCAATGACTTATTGAGAAATTTGACAGACTATAGTCCTATAGAGTATGGGAAGAAACTTGAGTGTTATTATTTCTCCAGGGGAGAAGATTGTGTCTTCAGTTTCCTCTTGCCTTCTCTCAGTTCCTTTTGCACACTGTCAGCAAAGTCATCATCTTAAAGTCTTGTCTATATCCCAATTCTTCTTCTGACTCACACTAAGTCCAAAATCAATTTCATTTTCTATATAGCTTATTTTATTATAACCAACAAATGATGTTAATACAGGGAGAATTTGAGTGAGATGGAAAGAAATAAAGATATAACCAGTCAAAAAGAATTAGAACCAATAATAGTGGATCTGATAAGCCATGAGAATTTCTCGTCTGCCTGCAGAATAAAACCAGAAGCAGGTTTGGCTTCAGATATTGTGCTTGGGTTCCACTCTTTCTTTCTAGACTTATTCATCTACTCCTTGCTTCACAGACCTTTCCCTGGTTAGATTGATCTGTTATTATTTTGGAATGTTCGATTATTCCTGCCTCTTGGACATTGCCACTTTCCCTCACTGGAACACTGCTTCTTCATCTACTTGAAATCTATTATGCCAATCCTTTTAACCACTGCCTGTACTTCTATTTCCTCAGGAACCACACATTTAATATTTATTACATATTGAAGTTATGATACCTATATTTTAATGAGCACATATTTTGGCTATAACTGTAAAGTAGCCTTCTTTGTCAAAGAACTAGATACCATGCTTGTAGTGGCTTGTAATGGACCCAATTGGCCAGGTTGAACTACATTTCCCAGAATTCCTTTTCCTGCATGTTTCCAGTTAGAATGAATCACAAGAGAGATACTTGTGCAAAACTTGGTGTGCAGAATTGAAGCAGCAGTTATTTTGTAGCTCACACAGGGAGTAGCTTGTCTGCTACCTTACCTTGTTGCTATTGCTGGCTAGGTATGCAACTACTCCACCATCTCCAGAGCCTCCTTGAGATGTGGTCCTGTGTTAGTTTAATCCAGGATAAAAGGACCAACTTTTGCAAAAAAACCCACCCTATAACACTAAGATCAGAAGCAAGAAAATTGACAGATACAAGTTCATTTTATGTTTGTGAGTTGCAGCCTTATTTTGCTTTCCCCCATTGTACATGCCTTTCCTTTCCTACTTCCATGACTGTGAACGTGAACTTCAAACTTCTTCATCTGATGCCAAGATAACGGTCTTATAGAGATTGCCCATCTACCTTTACAACTGTTTGATCAAATCTCTATGATACTTACCTTTTGGAAGACTGAGGCATATGATTAGCTTTTCATATACACATGGAGCAAATCCATAATTTGTGTGTGCATAAAAAGTTTCTTTCTTTACAATGTAATATGCCAGTGTAATAAATATATAATAATAGGGAAATTGAGAAATCATTACAGAGGAAAAGAAAGAAAAATTATTATAGAACTCAAAAAAAATCAGAATCATTGACGGAAAATAGATGTATTATGATTAGCTAAAAGAACTAAAAGAAATCATAATAACAACTAGAGTAAGAAAATAAAAATAAATCAGAAAGGCAGGGGAATTCCCATAAAGGAAAATTAACATTTGGTAAAGACAGATGTTCAAAAACTTCCTCAGTTCCTGGATTGTGTATTTTCTTTTCATCGTGCCACTTAACAGTTTTGTTTAAGTTGGGTACAAACAACTTAATAAGTATTTATGTCATAACAACTTAGTGCTTTTTGGGCACTGCACCTCTTCTCAAATTAGGAATTAAATTGGTCAACTGCTGAAAACCCAGCTTCAAAAAGATGGGAAATTTTTGCAAGAAATAGGATTATCTAGGGCCTCCCCGGTGGCACAGCGGTTGAGTGCTGGGTTGCGAAGCTGCCCACAGCCTCTGCAGCATTGGTTCGATCTCCGGCCACCGGCCGAGGGTCCCACATGGGCGCGCAGACCTCTCCTGCCGCCTGCTGCTCCCCTCAGCAGGGCACTTCGTCAGTCTGCCTGTTCTGCTCTCCGCTCTAGCTCTGGTGAATTCTCTCACCCTCCCGCACTTCTGACTGTACCCCAGTGCTTGTATAAATAAATAAATGAATCTTTAAAAAATTTATTAAAAAAAAGAAATATGATTATCTAATGTTGAAACTCTGAACTCCCTGCCGTGAGGAGTTTACATGGCATTTCATAGATGTTGCTAAGTTTCCCTTGACAATTAAAAATATTTCATGTACCCCTCTGAGTTTGCTAAGGCTCTCTGGGGCACCTTGGTATATGATTGGTAACTGCAGGACAAGGGCTTTAATTTTAAAAAGTAATGGAAGGAGTTTTGGGTGAAAAAGAACATTTAACAGGAAGAATGTTTTCAAAAGAAGTGAAAGTGAAGACCAAAACCACAATATAACATATTTATTGAGGACAGTGTCAGATGCAGATGTTATGCTAGGTACAAAGTATATTGTGTGAATGAAGTGAGAACAGTCTCTGCCCTCATTAATTTTTAGTTTAGTAGAGACAACAGGCATTAGAAAAAAGTAGAAATTATGATAGATGATGACCATGGAGGTAAGAAAGCATAGAAGAGTCAACTTCAATCTAATTTGATGACCATACATCCTCAGTGAAGTGTGTTTTGACTTGAGACAGGAAGGGAAAATAGATTTAGGCAGACGAAGAGTGGGCAAGAAGAGTGTTCCAAGATAAGGAATCAACATCTATGAAAAACCAGATATTAAGAAGGTCATGGCATGAAAGGCACAGAAAGAACTTCAGGATGCCTAGCATTAAAATTCAAGGAGATGGGTTGTACAGGATACACTTGGAGAGATAGACTCCAGAACTTGAAACACTTGTAAAACAGTTGATAGATTGGATAATACATGAATGGTGAAGGAAAGACTCTGACAGGTCTTAAAAATAGAATGACACTAACAAATTTATGTCTCAAAAGGATCACATTGGCTTCAAGAGGGAAGAACTGATTGTAGAGAAACAAGATGGAAGTAGAGAGATGAGTTAGGAAAATGCTAAATAGTCATGTGTTAGACTCGGTGGTGGTGGAGTGTGTACATGTGCAAATGTTGATGCTATTTCTCTAACCCCCTGAGAATGTGATATTGAATGGAATCCAGTGTACAAAGAATAGCCTAGAAGAGTTGTTCATAAACTTGAACATGCTTTAGAATCACCCAGAGGGTTTGCTAAAACACAGATATTTGAATCCCACCTCCAGAGTTTCTGATTCAGTAGGTCTGAAATGGGGCAAGAGAATTTGCATTTCAAATTCCCTGATCTTGCTTATTTGGGAAGGAAACCTTGAGAATCACAGCCTTAAAATATGTAGTAACAAGAGAAAGGAGAGAAGTAGGGTAGAAGAAATTATAAATAGGGAACTTGTGGGTACTCAGGAATGGGCATCGCATGAATGAGCACAGGGAACTGAGGTGATGGTGCACGGGTGCAACGGTGAAGGAAACTGTGGGGTGGGAGGAAGCAAATATTGTTTAAAAATGAACAATGATGTAAAAAAAAAATAAAAATGAGAGATTAAAAAAATAAAATAAAATTTATCAATTTTTTTAAATTGAAGTGACATTGGTTTACATTATTACTGATATTTTGAAAGTATAGGGTCTCCTTCCCACTCATGTGTTACCACCATTGCATGTCCACCATCAAATCATCCACAGTCAACCACCATAGTCTATTGTGCTCCCTTTCCTCTTTGTTCTCACACCTCCCTCACCACCGTTTCTCCCTGGATGCTTTAATTCTATAGTCAGCTTTCAAAAGTTAGTTTTTAGGATTGTCTATCTGACCTTTAGTTTGTTTCTCTGTATTCCTCCTATAAGTGACATCATCCTGTATTTATCTTTCTCCATCTGACTTATTTCACTTAGCATAATCACTTAGCACAATATACTTTGTACCTAGCATAACACCTGCATCTGACACTGTCCTCAGTAAACATGTTATATTGTGGTTTTGGTCTTCACTTTCACTTCTTTTTAAAATATTCTTCCTGTTAAATGTTCTTTTTCCCCCAAAACTCCTTCCATTACTTTTTATAATTAAAGCCCTTGTCCTGCAGTTACCAATCATATACCAAGGTGCCCCAGAAAACCTTAACAAACTCAGAGGGGTATATGAAATATTTTTAATTGTCAAGGGAAACGTAGCAACATCTATGAAATATCATGCAAATGGCATGAGTGTCTCTTTTGATTGTTGAGTAATATTCCGTTGTGTATATATACCACCTTCTTGATCTAGTCATCTGTTCTGGGGCATTTAGGTTGTCTCCATAGTTTAGTTATAATAAATAGTAAATAAACATGAGAGTGTAAGTTTTCTTTCAAATTAGTGTTTTTTAAATTTGTTTGGATGGATGCCTAGGAAAAGAATTACTGGGTCATATGGTAGATCCATTTTTACTTTTTTTTTTAAAAAAGATTTTTATTTTATTTATTTATACAAGCACTGGGTACAGTCAGAAGCGCGGGAGGGTGAGAGACTTCATCAGAGCCCGAGCGGGGAGCAGAGCAGGCAGAAGGACCGAGGTACCCCGCTGAGGGGGGCAGCGGGCGGCAGGAGAGGTCTACGCACCATGCGGGACCCTCCTCTGGTGGCCTGGGAGCAGCCAGGGATCGAACCGGCGCTGCAGAGTCTGCGGGCAGCTTCACAACCCAGCGCTCAACCGCTGCGCCACCAGGGAGGCCCCGTTTTTACTTTTTTGAGACCTCTCCATACTGCTTTTTATGAGGGCTGGACCAGTTTGCATTCCAACGAACAGTGTAGGAGGGTTCTCTTTTCACCACATCCTTGCCAGCATTTGTTGTCTCTGGTCTTCTGGATATGGGCCATTGTCATGTGTGTGAAGTGGTATCTCATCGTGGTCTTAATTTGCATTTCCCTGATGACAAGTGATGAGAAACATTTTTCATGTGCCTATTTGCTGTCTGTATGTCTTCTTTGGGGGAATACCTGTTTAGCTCTTTTGCCTATTTGTTTTGATTTGGTTATATGTTTTCTTTTGTTGAGTTATATGAGTTCTTTGTAGATCTTTGATATCCTTCCCTTGTCAGGTGTATAGTACAATATTTACTCCCATTCAGTACAATGTCTTTTCATTTTAGTTACCTTTTCTCTCACTGTGCAGAAGTTCCTTAGTTTAATGTAGTCCCAGTTGTTTATGTTCACTTATGTTTTCCTTGCTGCTGGAAACAAATCCCTAAAGACATCATTTCTTTTTTTTTTTTTTAAAGACATCATTTCCATCAAGTTTAAGGAAGGAGGTGGGAAGTAATAAAGCAACAAGTCTGAGTACAGCAAATGTTTAAAATTCACTGAGTATTAAACTGAACAGACTCAAGGATGCATAATTATATTTTGGGATGATGCTGAGCTTCCAGATGAGGTTGGTGATCTTAAATTTATTGTGATACAAATCTATCATTTCTTGGTGATTTTTTTTACAACAAAACTTAATTGTTCTGATACATGTGTAGAGGAAACAGACATTTGGGCTTACCCAGGGCTTCCTGGAATAGCATTACTAAAGGATGGAAAGGAAAAGTAACTGAAATATTGGGTTTTATATATAAGCTGGAATGGGAGGAAAAAGAGAAAAAGATTCTAGCAAAGAAAAAGTTTAAAACTACAGAGCCTAATGAATTGGGAAAATTGGCATATTGTGGCTAAATGAATGAACAAGCTATCAGAGGCTAATTTATGATGTTAGGGATAATGCAGTTGTAAAGGATGATGAATTCCAGGTGGCCAAGGGAGTGGCTGACCAGATTAGAGTAAAGAAGGTCATTGGAGATCAAGAGTCAGGGTGCTGACATTAAAGAAATTGTTCTTCCCATCAATGATGAAGAGAACTATCATGGTGGAAGAAGTTAAAGTGATGGCAGTGAACTGTGGTATAAAATCCTTCAATGAATGAGGAACACTAACTAGGAATTTGGTAGTCTCCATTGGTAAAAAAGAATACGGAATAATAGCGTCAACGACATGAGTGAGTCTCAAAGGAAGAAAGGCTTGCAGAAGAGAGTGGAGGAGAGTAGAGGAGTAGTGTGGAACTAGAGCAGCAGTGAAAAAAAAAGTACACCCTGAGTCAGACCTTGAAATGGAAGAGTGATGGAGAATGCACAGACTTCCCTTAAAAAATCTACAGGGATAATAGAGTCCTCAGGGGAAGGCTAGTTTTCTTTAAGGAGACAGAAAACATTTAGTAGAGAATTTGAGGTTATAAGCAAGTATGTTAATAATTGAATGTGAGTTTTAGAGGACACAGTGGGAACATTTTAATTTATGGAATAGAAGCAGCATATTAGAGAAAACTGTTGGCAAGCAATCAATAAACTTGCCATAGCCTCTGTTCTTAATTTATAGTTTGCTGAAGATTAGTGAAATTGATTTGTACATTTGCTGAGATTGTCAATTAGTTCAGGAAAGTCATTCTCATGCTCCTTATATTCCAGCAGTTTTGGTCATGTTAATAGCACAGAGGAAAAGTCAGGAAAAAATGCTTGTAACTAGAATATTGATAATATAAAAGCAGGAACAGAATTTGTATTATCTTATACAGTTTAAGACTTATATTTATAAATTCCCATAAAAATCAATCCAGAAAATCTGAGACCAGTCACTTACATATAACTAATTTAAAAAGGTTAATGTGGTTAAGATTTATTAGATCCTTTTTATTCAAAAGGAAGCAATTATATTGAATTTATAATACTGCGGTGCTACCCACCTGAAACTATACTTTAGAACACTACAGATATTAGTCTTTTAGAAGAATTTTATGTATCTAGAAAAAGATTAAAAATTCTGCTTACATTTATTTTAAAGATTATATTCTAGTATAGGTGAGATTTGCAATTCTAAACTCTTCTAGAAAGCTATCTTCTGATTACTATAAGAGGGAACAAGTGAGAATTTTATTTCACGTGCTCATAGCTGAACTGCTGACTGGAAGTGAAGTAGTTTCTCCATCTGCAGAGATGAGGGGGATGGCAATGATGTGATGGTGTTTATTGTATAACTCCTTCCTGGTTCTTAACCCCATCTTGGCTTTCTTTTCTTTGCTAAGGAAGTTGATTCCTGCACGATGCTTTTCCCAAACCTCTGTCCTGTATTAGGCCACTGGAAAGCATTGGTAGGGAATTGGAGCACTGGAGAAAGGGGGAGGTCAGGGTATTTCTTCTTCTCTTTTTCTACCTTGGTGGCATATCTAGAAGTACTTGTTTCTTCCCTGACCCCACACCTCCTGAATCTCACTTCTGCCAGGACAGCTCAGACCCAAGTTTCCAGTAATTCACCCCTTTCCCTACTCCCTCTACTTTGGAATGGTCACATTTTTTTTCTGTTTCTGTTCTCTGGTTGACTCACTGGTCCCCATAAAAATCCATACATTGTGCAAAAATGAAAAATGATGTAAAAAATATATAAAATTAAAAAAATAATAAAAGTTTTTTTCAAGGAAAAAAAAAGTCCTCATTGCTGTACCAAATGATGTTGGTTTTAAATACTTCAAAAGGCTTCTGTTTTCCTGGTTGGACCTTGGCTGACATAACTGTCTAACTTATAATGCTATAATAAGACTCTATAAGTATATATCAAGAAAATAGAGCCAAGACTCATAGGTGCTTACCACATTTTCAAGTGGAGAAAGCAACTTTGCCAAGCTGTCATGCATTATCCTTCTAAATGGTACCAGAAATAGTCACCAGCATCTCAAAAACAATGTATAGACATTAAATAGCTGCAACCACTTTCCCAACTGCCAATAAATCATGTTGGCTGAAATGAATTTTGAAAAGAATAGAGTAAAAGTTTTGGTGATTTGAATCATTTTAATAGTAGTTTGAGGAAAATAGCAGTCGTCAGTACAATTCCCAACTCTGAAGTATGTATTGTCAGTTATAAGTAGCTCAAGTGTTAAGTATTTGCATTTTATGCAGGGGATGCTTTCCTGAAGGCCACCTAATAGTCAACACTCAAATAATTCAGATTAAATTTTCCATAAACCTGAAAAATCTTACAACCTGTTTTATTAGTAAAGCTGTGATAACTGCTTGTTGACTTCCTTCATGTTTTTTTTTCAATCCCATCTTCTTTCCATATTATTGATTTTGGCATTCTTGCACTGACACTAGTCCATATCTTGATCAATGATATACAACATGTTATACATATAAAAAATTAAAGTATGAAAATAGTGAATTAAAAATGATGCGGAATTTCTCGTACAATTCTGATACAAGTAGACAAAACATGATTCATGTGCTATGGATTCAAGACTATGGGTATTTACAGTTTTCTTGAAAGGGTCATCTATTAGGTGATATCAGACACACAGTTTATAATAAACTAGACTTGCCCACTCTGAAATCATAAAATTCTGGTGATTATTTACCAATTTGGGAGGTTTAAACATTTTTTCAGTTTTTATATAATTTTGTATCTTTGCATTGTATATTTTCTTAGTTCATTTAACATAACATGAGAACCCAAATCACTGCAAAAAGTTTTGATGCTGTAATAACCTACAAGAAGTCAAGGGGGATACGTGTACCCATAAGTTTTTTTAATCATTATATAATTTTAAAAGGAAAGTTTAAGAGAATTCTTCTATTCAGGCATTGAGTAAAAATAGGATTTGATTAAATAGCATTTAGTAACTGTAAATATCAATGCAAAAAATATCATATACACAAATGTTCATCTTTGAATTTTACATTAACTCTACTATTCTTTTACATTTAATGATTAGAAATATTGTTGAAATATTCATTGAAATGTATTCATATCTGATATTCCTCTTTATCCTGCAGCTTGTTTCCTGGTGAAGCTAAAACATGACTCAGTATCCATTGCTTTATTTTGTGGTTGAATGCAACGGTAGAATAGAAAAATCAGGAATTCCTGGCTTTCAGTTTAAAAAATAAGCTTGTCATTGCAGAGGAGAAACAATAATTTTAAGGAAAATAATGCTTTAGAGTTTGAAGAACCTGAACTTTTGTTCTGACTTAAAAAGCCAAAGCATTGAAGTACTTGAGGCATGAAGTTATGCCATGAATAACAGGTATAAAAAATTATTCCTAAACAATATTTTTCTTCTCTCAGACTAGATAAAGATCTCAAGTGCTGGACAGAGAGGTGGAGAGTCTGAAGAAGTCTAACTGTGTCTCTCTCACAGTGGACCTATCTATGCACTGCCACTGGGGGTTGGGAGGAAGGGGATGGAAATTAAACTCCCCAGATAGGCTTGTGTATTCCAGATCAGCGACTAAAGATCACTGCTCCTTGGTGGAGCCCATAAAGAAAAGCCCTCCTGAACTTCTAAGAACTTTGGTAGAAATGCCTATGTTACATAAAAACAGAGAAAACATCTCCCTCAAAGTTCTCAAGTGCTGTGGTGGAGTGGCTACATCTTCCTATTCATCCCCATCTGAGGCCTGAAAGTGAGAAAAACCTGGCACTGCCGGGACCTTGTTAGTTTAAGGAAGATGGCATCAACGTTTGGATCTCATCTCTAGAAACTCAGTAGTCACATTCATGTCTTTTGCAGTGCTTTCCAAAAAATTTGGCCCACAAGCTACAAGAAAGACATTTTACAGTGTGGTTCAAGACATAAAAAATATTCAAAAAGAAACATTTGTGATATGGGTTTATGTTTTCTTTTCTTTCTTATTCTTTCATTTGAAAGCGTCTGGTTTGATCAACAAAACTGATATCATAGAATGAAATCAATATTTGTAAAACATTGGTACTTTCTAACCCCCTTCCTCGCCCATGGAAGAAAAACGAAGGGGTGGAGACCTCCAAATTGATTGATATTGAGACCAAGTGGAGATTCAAATTATACAAATATGGTCATGTTTCATAAATAACTGGGTATATGGAAAAGAAATCTGTATCCACAATAGTATTCAGTGCTTATACTTAATAAAGTACATTTGAAAATCAAAACTGAGTGGAAAGAAAGAATGCTAATATTTTGCTTTTCATAAGCAATGTGCTCTTTGGACAATTTGGCCTAATTTGGGTTATACTACTATCAACCTGGATCACCACTATCAACCTCCTGGAGTATCAACTTTACTAATTCAAAGCTGTCCTGGAGCACTGAGCATTTCTCAAGGACAAAGCAGGTGATGTTTTAAAATTCTTTTAAATCAGAGTGATATATGTTTTTTCTCATGCACATTGAAGGTATGATAAGAGAGAAAACGTTTTGCCAGGATTCATAAGGCCTGGAATATATTCACCTGTACAGTAGAGTTCTATATCATATTAATCAGTCTTTCCCCTTAACATTTTTTTTAAAGATTTTTATTTATTTATTTATTTATTCATTCATTCATTTATTTATTTATACAAGCACTGGGTACAGTCAAAAGTGCAGGAGGGTGAGAGACTTCACCAGAGCCAGAGCGGGGAGCAGAGCAGGCAGAAGGACCGAAATACACTGCTGAGGGGAGCAGCGGGCGGCAGGAGAGGTCTGCGCACCATTTGGGACCCTCCTCCAGTGGCCAGGGAGCAGTCGGGGATTGAACCAGTGCTGCAGAGGCTGTGGGCAGCTTCGCATCCCAGCGCTCAACCGCTGTGCCACCAGGGAGGCCCTCCCCTTAACATTTTTGTGTTCTTTCCTTATATTTATAATATTCTTGTCTGTTATTCTCAGTGATAATAACCCCTTGGCAGACAGAGTCAAATTCAGCCAACAAAATTAGATTGTAGGCATTCAATAACATTAAATCACTTGGTCTTGCTGATCTATAACTTAAAACAAACAAACCAAACAAACCCAAAACATGGTAGATCTAGAAACAAGATTCTTAAGAATCCAGAAATATTGACCTGAGGCAAGTGGAAAGAATTCTTTATTTCTATCTTAGTCCATTAGGGCTGATATGACAAAAATACCATAGACTATTACATATAAACAATAGACATTTATTTCTCACAGTTCTGTAGGCTAAAAATTCCAAGATCAAGGTGCTAGCACATTTGGTGTCTGGCGAATACCCGCTTTCTGGTTTATAAACAACTGTCTTTTTGCTGTGCCCTGACAAGGAGGATGAGGAAAGGGAGCTCTCTTCTTTATAAGATCACAAATTTCACTCAAGGGAGCTCCACGCTCATGACCTAATCACCACCTAAATGTCCCACCTTCAAATACCATCATATAGGGCATTAGGATTTAACATATAAATTTGGGGTTGATGGACAAGTATTTATTCTATAGCAATTTGCTAGTCAAAGAATGTCATGTTGACATACTACTGGGAACAGTGTGTCCTAACCTGTAGTGGGAAGAAAGTGACAGGGACACAGACTGGTGGCAAGGTTTTATAAGAATCCATGAGACCCAGAAAAAAGGTCTTTTTTTTTTTATATCAATTATCCAGGTGCTAGAGACTTTATGCCTCAGCTCTGAAGTCTAGAGACTTATGCCTCAGCTCTGAAGTCTAACTATGAACCTGGGAAGAGCAAAACATTTTATGAAGAGACAGTGAAATAGAATAATTACTCTTGTCTTGAGAAATTTTCTACTTTTTCTCTGTGTTCCTTATCACACACTTTTGGTTAGGAAACCTTTGTTTTTCAAGTAAAGTGTGTTATATTTTAAAAAAGTATCTTATCCTAACTAGGAAGTCACACACTAAATGCCTCTAGGAGCCATTTACGGAGCAAATAAATGGATCATACCTGGTGTAAGAGAAAGTAGAGAAAATTATGGAAAACTGCAGAAATCTGTGTTCTGCCTAAAGACAAGCAATCACATAATTTTAAAAAAATCACTGTGAGAGCTTAAACGAACTGTGTAGCTGAATTTAGTTTTCCATTAAATCAAGAAATAAAGAATTCAGTTCATCTCAGAGAAGTAAGATGAAAATATGAATACAAGTGTCAAATCAACTTCTGGTGAACCAAACTTAAAACAAACTTAAAACCAAACTTAAACTAACTCAGGGCATGGGAGGGTGAAGCTACTTATGCTAGGGGTGGTATTGGGTGAGGTAGGGTGGGGAGGGTTGGTAGAAAGTTATTTCATTCATCTGGAAGCTTTTTCAAAATACACATTCCTTTTTCCTCCTACTCCTAGACTGTGATGTGAACCACTTGAATCAAAGCTAGATTTCCCAAATAAGAATTATTTGTATAATGAGCTACTGTCACCACTGCTGATAATATTTGGTATTACTTTGATGTGATGGGAATGTAAACAAGATTGAAAATCATTCCCTTTGAAGGTCATCTACTACAATAAGATTTTGACTCTTTTACAGTAGTCTTTTCTCTCTAACTCCAATATCTAGTTTCAATAAAGAATCAGAAGGAAATCTAATCTCATTTTGTAAAAAAACACCATTTACTTTCCCTTGAGTCAATGTTTTGGTTTCCTCATTATTTCATATATAGTTCTTTAGAAAACTTCAAAACCATAAATCTGAAGAACTTCTCTACAGAGGGACGCCTCTTCATGTCCCTCCTCCAGGTGAAGAGAAATTTTTTTATTATTTTCTCAGATAGTACAGATATATTTCATGTATATGCAAGTGACGTATATGTGTGTGTGTGTACACACACATTTATATGTACATATATAATGTATACTATTTTAAGGCAAAAAAATTGCCAGAAACTGAATAAAAGATTCAAAATAGGATTTTAAAAATTCTACTCACAGAATAGAAATACAGGTGTATGTGTAATAAGATGAAAAAAAAAGTGTTAGTCTCCAGAATTCCAGATACTAGAAATGATAGACTGGCTTGTTTGCCAAGAAATAAATAATCAGGGCCTCCCTGGTGGTGCAAAGGGGTTAAGATTTCAGCACTGTGAAGCTCTCAGTAGCCACTGATGCCGATCCTGGCCGGGGAGGTGACCCACATGGCGCAGCAGACCTCTCCTGTCTCACCTGCTGCTCCACTCAGCAGTGCATTTCAGTCAGTCTGCCTGTTCTGTTCCCCACTCTGTCTCTGGTGAATCCTCTCACCCCCTGCACCTCTGGCCTGTACCCCAGTTCTTGTATGCATAAATAAATTGAAAGAGGGATGGAGGAAGGAAGGAAGGAAGGAAGGAAGGAAGGAAGGAAGGAAGGAAGGAAGGAAGGAAGGAAGGAAGGAAGGAAGGAAGGAAGGAAGGAAGGAGGAAGGAAAAAGATGGGCCAGAGAACACTGGCATCTACTTCTGCAGGGAGAAGTTTCTAGAGTAGCATGAGGTGAGGAGGCAGTGAAATAGAGACCTTTAGCCCTTCTTCCCTTCCTTCCTCCCTCCCTCCCTCCCTCTCTCCCTTCTCCAATCCTTTTCTACTTGAAGTAATATTATTTTAAATATTATACATCGTATGTGATTTAGGGGAATAAGGTCACACCTCCTTAGATGTATGTAGCCACACCATACCCACCACCAAAGCACCCATATTCTTTTAACACAGACTTGGGCCTCCATCTCCCTTGTTCCCACCTCCACCCTCGGCCCCCTTTAGTAGACCTTTAACTCTTCAAGCCTCAGTAAAACCACTAAGCTCCTACTTTGTCACTAGGATGACTATACTTGCAAATGGAAAACAGTATTTTTCATACAAAGATTCTTGAAGTCTACTTAACCGTGCAGATTTTTTTCTCGCACTTAGATTATTACTTCTTAAGTTATATCTTGAGAAGTTGGTACCCTTTATTCAAGCAGGGTTTTCTTTTTAAGGCATTTTCACTCAGCTTCTAAGCTGATGATTCTAAAACATAAGAAAAAATAGTGCCCTATTTCAAAATAACATTTGGTGACTCTTGGTTGCATCACAAGAGAATGCTGAACTTCTTATCGATACACAGCCTCTCATGATGCCCTCATGTAATTTTCTGGGCTTGTTGTGCATCATTCTCTCCTCCAACATTGCCATAAACCTTGTGTCCCAGGAATGAAGGGCTCACTGGTATTCCCCTAGTCACATAATGACAAATCCAGTGTTTAATTAGATTGTAGGGTCAGAAAAAATACCAAGTGAAAACCTGAGTTCATGAAGGAGAAAGCAAAATTGTTTTAGGAAATGAACACAGAATCTAACAGGTGACATTAATATCTCTCTCTCTTTTTTTTTTTAGCAGTTTAGTTAGGAATGTTCACATGCTCTTTATTTTTTAAATTATAAAGAGGAGCATTTGCTCCCAGATCCTTGGATAAGAGTTGGATGCTGTATTGGTTTCATTAATTCATGTGATATAAAAACTAATCTCATAAATCCAGGTTGGAAATCAGAGTTTTCAGCCTTCCTATTAGCAATACTGTATTACTTTTTCTCTATAGCCATGGCAACCAGTTCTCTGCAAGTTATTTTGGTGTAGTTCACATAGGGTCTCTTTTGTGGAAAGCTGCAAGCAATTCATTTTCCTTAAAAAATGAACTGAGTGAAATGAGATTATACAATATGAGACTATCAAGTTGTATTATGTAAATGCAAATAAAATAAAATATATTCACTCTAAAGTGCCATCAGGTGTTAAGAGGAGCCTAATAGAATTTACACAAATTCTCATAAATAAACCTCCTCAGGTTATCCAAGTCCTCAGATTAGAGGTGAAGGACTGTGAACTACAGTCTTTGACATCTCATGAGATCATGGTTAGTGTTTTTTTTGGATTATTTTATACAGATGTCCCTTAATATCATTATTCATAAAATGATTGAAAACTTAAAAAGGTTTTTGCTTCAGCCGTTGGTGTTTAGCATACAAATTTTATTTGACTAGCTGAATTTTGCTGGTTTGTAGATGAGGAGGGTCATTCTTAGGTAACATTAGATAGT